TCATCGATCCATAATTGTCAAGAGTGGCATCTTGGTAATAATCACCGCAGTTTCGATTTCGAAATGGGTTGGCAAAATGACGGGCAAAATATTGTCGAATAATATGTATCCGAAGTGTTATCAATTCCTTAACGTGATTATAAAGAAACTATAATTTTTAACTCGAGAAGGATTATGAGAGGCCAAGAAATAGTCTTTTATTTCGTAGCTCCAACATACGAGTCTTAGCATAAAGAAGTAAAATTCTCTCAAATCTCCAGGAGATAAGCATTCTCTTGCAATATTAAATTCACCCATTGATTATTTTTTTGCAAAACTTGCAGTGAATAATGGAAGTTCAGACGAAATGGCATTATTCCAATAATATCTCCAAACATTAACTTTTATTGAGATCGACTACTCATGGAGTAGTTCTGCTTGCAGCAAAAAGGACTTAAAATCAATGAAACCAAATTATCAAACTATTAGAAAATAACATTCCAATAGAATCGCCGGTATCCCCGAATGAATTTAAATTCAATGTTCTATTTTAATTAGATAACCTCAAGCAACGCTGATTGGATTTAGCGGAGGCCGCCATGTTGATTATTGAACCAGTTTCGATTTAAGATTTCGTGACCAACATCTGCATATTCAAAATTATCTCTTTAGCAAAAAAGGAAATAGCAGAGGCTAGACACCCAGAATGAAATAATAATAAAATTAAAATAGTACTACGCCGTTTCCAGCATTTTTTTAAGTGCAATGGTAATGATAGTCTTTCCCAAGTGATGGAAAAGGCATGAAAAATATTCAAAATTTTTAAAATGTTATTATTGATAGAAAATTCCTATCATTTCAAGAATGATTTTTCTTATATATGGGGAAAAGGATATTTTTATCTATGGAGATTTTGTTATCAAATTAAAAACCCAGAGAGGACAATTTTATTAGGATGTAACCTAAAATAAATAAAAAGCACAAAAAGAACAACGAAATTCTAAAAAATATTACACCTTCAATTACGCTATGATTCCAAACGGAAATCCTGAATAGTTTTTGAATGCCGGAATAAACCGACGCCAATTTATAATACACGGGTGAAAATACTAATTAAGAACCACTTTTAAGATAGGAATAGCGGAATGTATTGGCATGATTCCTATAAAAGCTAGGAGCTCTAAAAATTTTGAGGCTTGTGAGATATTATTGTTTAACATATGAGCGTCTATTTTTACGGAACTTAATTTTCAAATTCATTAAATCACAAATTTAAATTTTATTTTAGCGAAGAGGACGATTTAAAAGCCCTTTATTTGGTTTTTCAATGCATTCAGTATACAATTAAGACGTAATCTCTCAAAGAGACGTGTTGACATTATTGATAGACATAGCTCTTCCGAAGATCTCCCTGTGCTTAGTCAAACCACATGGAATCACTCCGAACGAAGAGAGAAAACTTTCCAGTTATTGTGATTAATAAAAGTGATTCATAATGAATTTGAAAGGAATAAAAATATACTCAAATAAAAGACTCTTCGCAAGGAATTTATGTGAACTTTATTCCTAGAGTTTCCTCAGAAAATAAAAATTAAATAAAGCCATTAAAAATTTATTAACCGTTTATTCCAGAGATTTTCTCATAATCGACTTACAAATCAAAGTTTATACCACAGATATAAAGTATATTTCAGAACTATTTGAAGTTATCTTTTCACTATCGAGAAAAATTTGTTCTTTCTCATAATAAATAAATATATTTCATTAGTTATCTTATTTGAAGAACACAGCTGGGAAAAATATTCAGAATATTTTCTAAGGGAATAAAAGTGATCTATATAAAGCCCAAACATTTCTCAGAAAAATTCCACAATTACTACAGTTCCAATAACCTATAGAAAAAATTTTTTGGTCCTAAGAGACCTTAAAAATTCGCACCCCATGAGTAAAAAAATTCTATTAGGAAACAATGGTTGGACACTATGGGTGCCGCCATGTTTTTTCGTGGATCAAGTTTCGTTTTCGAGTATAGCTACGATAAAAGGAAACAGACCACTTTCAGGAGTAGAAACTTGCCTAGAGTCTTAATAAATAATTTTCTAAATAAATAAAGCCTATGATAAATTTGATATCCGATTATATTTAACCAAGAGGCTCAGATTTACGAATGAAAAATAGGCCTTATTTCAAGGAAATACTTAAGAGAAAACCCACGGATTTGATGGACAATGTAAATTTTCTTTCAAAAAATGACCCATAAAACATATGTGAAATAGGAGACTGGATGTTCTGAGTCGGCAGACCAAATATTCCTCAGAATGAATCGGAAATAATGTCGATCAGATATAAGAAAAAATGGTTTTTAAAGACTCTCTACAACGAAAAACGTGATCTTAAAAGTATTTTGGGACTTCCATCTCATAATGAACCAGAAATAATGAACAATTTAGGATCAGATGACAAACTGTTTATGGAATTTCATGGGCGCCGCCATGTTTTATGTTGAACTGGTTTCGTTTTCGCTCATGACTAAGATCAATATACCGATTTACGGTAGGGTTATACCTCTTCTAAGACGTACAACTCAAGAGAAAGGAGCTAAAATGATGCTTAGATCTATCTCTACCACTATCAATAGGCTCCTAAATAGGAAGTTCCATCATAATAATAATCCAGGAAACTAATCGAAGCTTCTTTTAAACCTAGCCTTCAAATGACGAGGAAAAAATATTCTCGACATTTTAAATTATTGAATTAAAATAAAACTTCAAGAGAGTGGTAATCAAGGGCCTTTCGGAGCCCAAAAAATAATTGGAATCAATAAAACCGACTTTGTTAAGAGTAAAATATCTTAGATCCCGTAATGAGTCAGAAATTTGTTCTTTATGCATGGAACCGCAGATTGAGGAGGAACTTATATCTATGTCGCCTTGTCAATCTTTACACTCCATTTCAAATTAATGCATTTTATCGACTAATTTCCACTTCTATGTGCAGATCTTTCGCGCAACTGACTTAAATCGATTCCGATTGCACATGACAACTTTAAAGGAAATAGAATTACCGCAGATAACTCGAAAGGTGGTCAATACCTCTAAGAAATTGTAACGAGAGGGAAATAAAAACAGTGAAGAGGAAGGAAATATCTATTAGGAAATCTCTGTATCAACTCCGTAGGCAAGAGGATTACACTTAATCTAATGTAAATCATTTCAGACTCAATCAAAAAATCAATAAGAAGACTGCCGGGCATACTCCAGTGAATCCTCTTCCAAATCATTCCACCCGTTACTTCAATCAAATACACCCGTATCGTAATACCATAATGAAATACAACCCGTATGCTACAGATTAATGTTTTCAAAGAAAACACTAAATAAATTAATCAGACTACACAATTCCCCCAAATACCACTTAACAGCTCGAGGTGGAATTATAAATTATAAAGACGCATGATATTGTTGCATAAAATTTCAAATATTAACAGCATAAAGGGCATAGAATTTTGACGCATAAACTTCAAAGACCTACCTTTATCATCATCACGTCTTGTAGCTAGTGCACAAAGTTTTTCAGCATCAATTTCTGTCTTTAAAGATAGTTCTCTGGTTATTGGATCAAGTTGGAAAAATTGGGATGGAGCTCCAAGTGCATTTGTGACACTCTTCTGTGATGAAAGGCCAGTAACAATACCAATTATTTGCCCAGGTTGACTGTTTTCTTTAAGTTTATGCTTCACTTCAGTTGCTGGAATACGCCATGTTGAGGTATGGATGTCTGGTATTAAGAAAATGATGAAAAGAATCAGCGAAATGGACCGATTTCGTCCCGTCATGGTCCGCTCTTAAAAGTAAAAAAATGAAAGTGAGATCGAGATACTACTTAAGTTAGATAATCTAGACGTCTTGTGATTTGTCTGAGTGAGATGGTATATCCAAGCGTTTACTGGTTGTGTTGACTCTACAATAATTGGCTAGACATTTGGGTCAAGCCACCATGACCAATTAGGATGAGACTTTTCGCGTCACTCCTGACCTCTAACATGTGGCACACAACTTGAATGTGAAATTCGAATTCAAGGCTCCGCTAATTTTTTTCATCGTCCAACACAGTATAGGATATATAACTAATGTGATGATACACCTTCAATCAAAATCTTGCTTCGAATTTCTCCGATATCGCGAAAGGTTTATCTAAAATTTGTAAATAATCCTCCACCGAATATGCAAACCGATTCAGGCAGTTAATTAAATCGGCCAAAAAAGTATAAATATGAACAATCATTCATTTATCCTCTTATAGAAAGAGAGCACGTGTGATTCTAAGACTAAATAGTTTGAAGCTAGGAATTCAATCACTAAACGTGCTTCCCTAGGGAAGTGAATAGGAAGGTTTGCACTACGAAGAAAAATGGAGAAAAAAGAAAGGTGCACAAGTAATGTGGAGATGGAATATAAATAGCAAATTTAAAGAAAATAAATATGAACTGCGATTTACATTAGAAATATGCCAAAAGTTGATGAAGAAAAGGTGGTTGTAGTTCTCTACTTTCAGCATGGAATAGCTCGAACACTCATTCAAAATGCCTTCCAACGTACGTCTACACCATCGCCTTCGTATTAGACAAATGGGAAATAAAGAAAGTGAGCACACTTTTATACCAGTAATACCATAGCAACTACGAAGAGGAGGTTAACATGAAATTTAACACAATACACAGGATAAATGATCTTGTTTGAGTGTGTTGCTATGTCACCTAAAAGGATCCTACAAACAGTGCATTATGCTTTAACTCAAAACATGACTTTGAATTAAGATCGGGAAATAAAGAAAGTGAGTGCACTTTTATACCAGCAATACCATAGCAACTACGAAGAGGAGGTTAACATGAAATTTAACACAATACACATGGTAAAGCAACAAGCTTGCTAATAGTTCAGGATAAATGATCTTGTTTGAGTGTGTTGCTATGTCACCTAAAGGGACCCTGTAAGCAGTTTACTATGCTTTAACTCAAAAAATTTTTTCGAATTAAGATCGGCTACGTTTGAAAATCAACAGATATAAATTTGAAGAGGTAAATTTTGTAAAATAGATCTCTGCATAAATCTTTTCTTAAGATTTATGAATTATAATCTGATGTCGCAAAAGATAAAATTGACAATATTTAGTAACTTCGAGATATTCCAAGTTTATACACGGACATCTCTGTAGATATGGCCGTAAAGATCCTTAAAGAATGTATTCTATTGCTCGATTATTTGCACACCATGTTGGTTTAACTAAATGCCCGTATGATGCCACGTGGTCGTTAAGTAGAAATTGGCAATGAAACCAATCATATAACTTTGTTACAAGATGCCGGTTAATTCGTAACTTATAAATCTCATATACAAATGGAATATTAGCGTTTCACAAAGCTAAATATAATCAAAATCACCGGTATGAAATATTACAACTTAAGTAAACAAAGAAATAAAATCTGAAAATTACAACAGCGAATTGAACAAAAGTTATTGTAAAGAAAAGTCATCTTCCCCTATATGAGCCATTCTAGTCCCAATCGTGCAAGTGGCTAACAACGTTTTAAAATATAATATCAACTTAAGGTTGTTTTTAAGAAATTAAGGATTTGAAAATTAATAAAATAATTTTTATCCAAACACCCATATTAGTACTCTATGACCAATACACAGTTGATGGATTAAAAAAGATAAAGATAAATAAGAAAAAACATAGTTGGTTTTCTCCAGTTGGACAAGAATGTGTTCGACACAAGAAATGAGGCTGTGGATAGTGAGCACACTTTTATATCATTATCACAATATCAAGTAGTGATATATAGATCTCAATCAATATTTTTAAGTTACCCTGGTTAGCAATAAAAGGCTAATTAATTGTTCACGTGAAGTTCTTTTGTTATATTGGGAAAAACAATAAATTACCTAACTTGTGCATTATGATTTGTTTCAAACATTATTTTTGAGCACTAAAATATGAATCATTGCATCTATAAAATCAGTGAGGAGTCGGACGATTATTCCATGATCAAGGAGAACGAGAAAGGAAAAAAAATTCAATTTTTCTGTCCCCATTCATTCTAGTGTATCAATTCACTTGAAATTCAAATCCAATGCAAAACAATATCAAGTAGTCCACTATGTAGGCAATTGATAATTATATGCTACATTTGAAAAATTTTGAGATGTGCAAAATAATTAGCAAAGCTTGCTGACAGAATCATGTTTTTTTATTATTTCATTAGAACTACCCTCTACGTGCCATTCCTACAGGCGCCTGTCTCAATTAAGACTAGAAAACAAGTAGAAGGATTCTCTCTTTAGTGATACAATCTTGAAGAGCTTGATTCATTCAGCTCCTAGAAATAATAATTTATTCTAAATGGACAGCAACAGAAAGTTGGAAATCTTTTTAATTTTCGAGATTGTCTATAACCAAAAAAATAAAAACATGTTGCTTCCAATTCCGATAATGCATTGATTTCAGTACAAAATAATACTCCTCATTTTATTGGGCTATTTAATTTTTTAAAGTGTTAAGAAAATATCAAATTTCATGCTTCCAGTCATCTTAAATCTATAGAGTTTCCTATCATCATATAATATGAACACATCCAAACTACATTAAAATTGAAATTATTTTCAACAATATTGAGACAGGCATCGGTTACTGAGGATAATTTTTGAAAGTTACATTTCCATATTCTTCATGTAAGACTCTGGAATTATTCAAATTAAATTAATTGTAATCAACAATTATAAGTGTAATTAAAGGATAGGTATGAGCATAAGTAATATGGAATTACTCATAGATACTAGTTATGGAATAAAAATCGATTTGAAAATAGTAAAATTCATTCAACAGGTCATTTTAATAGAAAATTTGATTGTGAAAGTGGAGATAGAATACAAATAGCAAATTTAAAGAAAATAAACATGAACTGCGATTTACATTAGAAATATGCCAAAAGTTGATGAAGAAAAGGTGGTTGTAGTTCTCTACTTTCAGCATGGAATAGCTCGAACACTCATTCAAAATGCCTTCCAACGTACGTCTACACCATCGCCTTCGTATTAGACAAATGGGAAATAAAGAAAGTGAGCACACTTTTATACCAGTAATACCATAGCAACTACGAAGAGGAGGTTAACATGAAATTTAACACAATACACATGGTAAAGCAACAAGCTTGCTAATAGTTCAGGATAAATGATCTTGTTTGAGTGTGTTGCCATGTCACCTAAAAGGATCCTGCAAACATTGTACTATGCTTTAGCTCAAAAAATGGTTTCGAATTAAGATCGGTTACGTTTGAAAATCAACAGATATAAATTTGAAGAGGTAAGTTTTGTAAAATAGATCTCTGCATAAATCTTTTCTTAAGGTTTATAAATTATAATCTGATGTTACAAAAGCTAAAATTGACTATATTTAGTAAATTCGAGATATTCCGAATTTATACACCAGTTTGGTTTAATGGTTGATTTGAGGTTGAAAAGTTGAATAATTTCAATTGCATCGAGGCAAATACGTATTCTGCACATAATTACTAAATGAGTTGACCACTTTCTCTAATGTAAACCGATCAATTATATTTTCATTTAATGCATACATTAATCTATTTTTATAACCAATACTATTTCATGAAGGTTATAAAGCTTGCTAAGGAAATAGGATGAGGGAGAATGAAATATGATACATTTATAGACATCTCGAGCTATTGTTTTATTTTGGCCTTTATTGCCTTTTCCTTGCAAGACCTTATGGAAACGTTCACGATTAAGGACGTTTAGCTAAACGAAGCTTATCTCTAAAATTTATACACACTTACCAGTAGTGTACAATTCACTTACCTCCTCATGGTACATCCTGGGCAACATATAACCATACGGCAAAAAGTCTTTAAACCGGTAGTTGACTTATGACTTCAAACTACCATGGCTGACTGTATGTCATATTTGACCACTTCCTCAGTACTCACCTTACCTCTTTCTCTACCTTTGTATCTGCCTTTTTTAAATTCGTTAATCATTCTTCTACCACCTCTCGACTTTTTGTACCTTTGATGTTCCTTCCCTTTGTAAAGCTCGAAGTCAACGGCCATTTGTGACCAAATGTGTAATTTATTTACCTTGGAAATTGTGCAAGTTGTAGACAGAGTACCAACTTCGATGGCATTTCATTGTTTTCAGACTAACATATGAATATTACTTAAAACCGCCTAATCGTCAGAATCTAATAAATGCGTTTTATTTATTTATTTTGAGATGTTGTCTAACAAAGTTATCAAAAAACGTGCGTTACCAAAAATATGGGAGGACAAAATCACTCCTGTTTTTGTTCTACCAGGGAAATATGTGATTATTGATTACATACTACAAAAGCCCAGACTAACATACGTATGCAATGAATTTTTTCGAATGCCAAATATTTTTTACCACAATGCATAAAATGTTCAAGCAAAGTCGTTGAAGAAAACCGCTTCCCACCAATCATCGTAAATTGGAGGAAAAAGGGAAACTTGAAATGCAACACTCTTAGAATCCGAATTCAGTAAGAAATACTGAGAGACAACTTAAAATTTTAACAATAGAGTGAAATAGATCTATTCTCCGAACCTCGATTTCATTAAATATATATGAGAACGAGATGTAGGTGAAGTATTTCATTTACTCGGTGAATCATTTTTTATGATAGTCCCCTAAACTTCTGATTTTATCAGTTTGGGAAAATGAAAGATACTAATGGTGTTTACAATATTAAAATCGATGTTTTGCTGCAATATTCTCATTTAACAATCTTGAAAGCAATAAA